TATTAGGTTTACCTGACTATTACATAAGGACACATTGTAAAATTAATTTAAGACTGGTACATAAGGCAATATTGTGAAATTGATTCTATTTAGCCTATAATATTTCAATTATTAGATTTACCTGAATATTACATAATTACACATTGTAAAATTAATTTAAGACTACTAGATAAGGCAATATTGTGAAATTGATTTAAGACACTTAGACGCAGGTACCTAGAACAGGTATCTAACGTATAAATAAGTATGATTAGTTTGATCTTCCTCTTGAAGATGATCACTTGGTGATCGAAACACGTGTCGAGGTGGTGTTGGGGAAAAAACTACAGTAATATTCATTACTACACCAAAGTTGATTACCAAAAGTGAGGTTATGATTGACTGAAGTAAACCTTTTTTGCGGAATCCGTAATACATTATATAATCAATCAATGTATATCCGGTTGATCAGAAGATGATATGTTTTCTCTGTGTGTCGATAAAACTTTTATGTATATCCGAATTACAAATGATACATTGAATATGTGAATTTAATGATTTATTGCGAGGTTTAGTGCTATACTTATATGAAAAAAAAATTGATTCTCATCATTATTTTGCATATCGAAGAATCATCTTCTTCAAGAAGTACGAGACACTTGGACTGCAAATAATGCAGGCAGGTGAGCAACGAAGGCTACTTTTTTGCAGCTCTTGTTTTTAAGGGAGAAATATGATTTTTGAAACGTTTATAGGAACTGCAGGTTACATCATTTTGATGTTTTCAATTCCATTGTTGAGCATTGAGCATTGTTTTTTATATGTTATACTTGCTAGTAAATCCTTTTGTTGCGTCCTCTGACAGTGGTAACAAACTAAGTTGTACACTTTTTTCTTTGAAACCAATGATAAAAAAAAGTTTGTACCACAGAGCATTCAAATATATTCTATATCATCCAGTGGAATCATGAATTAAAAAGAGATGATTTTTTGTATCTTCTGGATATTTCATTTACATGGTATTTGTCGAATGAACTTTTTGTACGTAATTTTTTGAGGTTGAAAAAATCAAGCACTAAAATCATCAATAACACTAACACATCAATGTCCTCTGCAACAAGAACTATTGGAAGGATTTTGTTCAGAAATGCACCAAAAAACTGATTTTTTATGTAAATACATACAAGTACATGTTTTTAGAACAATATACATACTTCTGTCTCCAATTCAATAGGTTTCCGATTTCAAATAATATAAAAAAACAAAAATTAAAAAAAACATAAAAATCGGAGCTGTTCTTGAGGACACGCTAGAAAAATACTTCATTAACGCGAAAAAGTATACAAAATGGTGTATGGCTTATACATCGAATTTTTATCTTGCTTATTCCGAAAGCGATAAACGTTTTATTATTAGATTAGGGATATGAAAATACGCCGGGAACCGTAAAATGATTAACGAGTTTTTCCATATATCGTATGATCGATACTAATGGAAGCAGACAAAAGACAATTAAAAACAATAAACCGCGCCTGAAACCCTGTCAACCGAAAAATTCAAAGCTCACCATATTTTATGAATGCTGAATACAATGGCACAAGAGGATAAATTAAATATGTACAACTAATCGTTTGCAAAGGCAACCGCATGTTAATGGATGATGGTCGGTGACATATTTAAAATGCACCATCTCTCACTAACTCATTCATATGAAAACCAACATTGTGTTCGATTATCTAACAGAGTCATAAATTAACACCAGTTTTCCAAAAATGCTTCAGGAAATGAATAAACCTCGAAACTCATGAAAAAATATCCAAAACAAGATTTTTTCCAAACGACAAAACTACAACCTTCTTCTCGACGTGCTTTTCACCAACCACGTTAATAGTCAAAAACAAACCTTATGAACGCAAGACGCGATTTGATGCGGGATTACCAAAACCTTTAGATGTTCATCTAATAAAATCATTAAAAAACAATATACGACTGTTACAAAAGCAATGCGATTCCTACAATTGAAATCGTAAGGAAGAAATTGAATACTTCCGGCCATAACGTGAGCTGCTGTGACAAAACTCTTCAGAATTGGATAAAGTAACTAGGATTAAGATTTGAAATAATAAACAAACGTCAAGCAGTTATGGAAAGCAGAAGAATAATGGAGTTGCGTGACAAATAATTAGAACAAATATCTAAATATAGACAAGAACAACGGCAAATTTTTTATTTGGACGAAACTTGGTATGACACTCACAACAGTTACGAAAGGGTGGACTGATGGTTCGAAAATGTGTACGCCTAATATGCCTGCAAACAAAGGATCGCGACTAAGCATTGTGCATTGCCGAGGAAGTAAAGGATGTTCTGTTCTCATCTATTAATTTACAACCCCGAAATTGTAGCACATATCAGCCCTTATAAATATATGTTTGTGTATTCCGCCTTGATGGAATATATAACGGGAGAAAATCAACAATTCGTCCACACCATATTCGCCTATTCCAAATGAAAGAATGTCCATCTGATGACAGTTAGGATGACAGACCTATCTATTAAAAATTGTGATATTCCCAATATTTATTATAAGTGTAGCGATATGTCTAAAACACAAATTTCGCTTCACGGCGGTGAATCAGAAATTTCTCAAAAAAGCATGCCTTACGAATAGAAAGAACGGAAAAAGTAGTGAATATGGTAACGTTAAAGATTTTCATGAAATTTTGACAGACGGTTAAAAGTCACTAAATCTGACCTGACCTTACCTAACCTAACCCGACCTAACCTAACCTAATCCGACCGAACCTAACCTAACACGACCGAACCTAACCTAACACGACCGAACATAACCCAGAGTTGCAAACCGTAGCGGAATTTACTCGACGGTAGCGGCATAGCGGATATTAACATAAAGTAGCGGACTTTTCTACAAATAATATTGAAAAAATATGGAAGAAGAGGCAGTGGACAGCACTCGAAGCTGACAGTTGACACTTGAATAATTGAATTTACAGTCAATACGTCTTAGTAGCTGAGGCCATTACATGATGAAAGAGAAGAATTTTCTTGGATATTTTCATTCATTTCATAAACGTTATAACCTCCAATATTTTGAAACTAAAAGTCTCGATTGTCTCGACTATTATAAATTATATAGAACAAATTACAGTGGAAATAGAAGATAATTCATCTGATTGTAGCTCGAGCGAAAGAGCTGCCGTAGTTGTAATTGACGGAAACGGGGCATTTTCAAAAAAATACACGAAGTCTCGAAAACAAACTTTTCCTCAACATTGGTTGTCTGATTCCAACTTGAAAGGATGGATTAGACCGAATGATCATTCAAGAACAAATTGATATTTATTTTTACTTTTCAAAATCTTTATTTCAAGCTAAGAAATATTTAGTCGAGACGACAGCTTTCAAAAATTACCTGCTGTAAATTTAGAAAATTAGGTAGCATCTACTGAGTTGCGCGGTTGAAAATTCGCATGATCCTGATTCCTGACATTAGTGACAGTTCAGTTTAGAGGTATCTGAATGGTACACAAACTACAAACTGTAAGTTCTGTGGTATTTAATTTTGGATAGGGCGCATGCGCGAACTGATTGCGTCAGATATATAAGCGTAACGGAATATGAAGCAGTGTAGTAGAATTTTGGTTCATGTGTAGCGACTTGATAGTTCATCCAGTTGGCAACACTGACCTAACCTAACCCGACCGAAACTAACCTAACCTAACCCGACTGAACCTAACCTGACCCGACCGAACCTAACCTAACCCGACCGAACATAACCTAACCTGACCGAACCTAAACTGACCTGTTTTACATTTGAATAGAATGGGATACTCTTCCAGAAGTTCCAGAACAAAAACAAAACCAACAAAACGCAAGTAAGCAATTCTAATATTTGGATCATTAAAAAAGCCGCCTTCGACACAGTTTAATTCAGAGAAGGAAAATACGTTAGAAATGGAAATATTTGAAATAATTGATTGTGCGAATTATAAAGTTTGACAACTTTGACATTTGTTCATGTGTCTTTGGGTTTATAATAAAAATAGCTGTGTTTTAACTTAAGAAATATTTAGTCGAGACGACAGCTTTCAAAAAGTACCTACTGTAAATTTAGAAAATTAGGTAGCATCTACTGAGTTGCGCGGTTGAAAATTAGCATAATCCTGATTCCTGACATTAGTGACAGTTCAGTTTTGAGGTATCTGAATGGACACAAACTACAAACTGTAAGTTTTGTGGTATTTAATTTTGGATAGGGCGCATGCGCGAACTGATTGCGTCAGATATATAAGCGTAACGGAATATGAAGCAGTGTAGCAGAATTTTGGTTCATGTGTAGCGACTTGATAGTTCATTCAGTTGGCAACACTGACCTAACCTAACCCGAGCTAACCTAACCTAACCTAACCCGACCGAACCTAACCTGACCCGACCAAACCTAACCTAACCCGACCGAATCTAACTTAACCTGACCGAACATAACCTAACCCGACCGAACCTAAACTGACCTGTTTTACATTTGAATAGAATGGGATACTCTTCCAGAAGTTCCAGAACAAAAACGAAGCCAACAAAACGCAAGTAAGCAATTCTAATATTTGGATCATTGAAAAAGCCGCCTTCGACACAGTTTAATTCAGAGAAGGAAAATACGTTAGAAATGGAAATATTTGAAATAATTGATTGTGCGAATGATAAAGTTTGACAACTTTGACATTTGTTCATGTACCTTTGGGTTGATAATAAAAATACCTGTGTTTTAACGAATTATCCAAAAAACAGTAGTAAATAGGTGAATAAAGATGCAATTGGTGTGTTCCCAAAAACTCGTTTTTTTAACTAAAAAATAGCATATCTTCCAAAGTTATATTTTCCGCACGAAAGTTTCGCTTGCTATAGTATTTTTTCATGTTTTGAATCATCTGTGCAAGTTTCATGAAGATCCTGAAGGTTACCGTTTTCGCTACTTTTACCGAAAGAACTTCAGTACTCACCTTTATGGGCAGTGTGAAAGGTATTTCCTGACGACTGCTGGAACTGACCAGAAGCAAAACGTCCTATCGTACTCGCGTGAGAATACAGCGCACTGCCAAAAGTCGGCCCACCGGGAAAGAGCGAATAAACTCCATATTTGCCAAGACCTGAAACACACAAATCACCACACAGTTAGCGCGTACCTTACACGATTAATAAATTGAGGTTTGGATGACATATGCCCACCATTTCGGTTGACAAAAGTCGAAAAACAAAAAAGTTGTCAAATTAAAAGCCGTCGCAAACATTTCGAGCTCAACCACACGAACCAACCAGAAGTTCTCATGTATCCGCAAGTAAAGCTCAACGCAAAACATCTCTTATTCTGAACTTGAAAGTTATAAGCCCTTCGATCGATATAGGGTAGGAATTACGTCCAAAGTGAGCGGGTATATTTCCATGTTTATAATAACTGTAATCTTTCCAGCAAAGTTAGCTGTAACAGAGAATATATCAGCGTTTGCTGAACTGCTCAGGAGGAGTTCTTTTTCGCTCCTGATGAAAGCAGAGTTTGCTTCTGCTGCTCAAAATTTCAGTGCGAGATAGATATCCTGACCTTGAGGAGGAAATTTTATGACTGCTCCGACTAGCCTCTTAGGTTATTTCATATCGAAGCTTTCTTTAACTGCGTTTTCATCACACCACACTCCTTTCTCGGATACATCCACCATCTACGCTGTGGTCCTGCAAGGATCTAGATACCACTTTTCTATTGTAAATGAACGATCTATGAGAAAATAGGAGATTTGTCTTCGTTTAAATGATCGGTCGGTCGGTAGCCGGTCGGTTCGACGTGGGTGCTTTGTTCACTCACCCAAATCGACCGCCATGTTGGTCGCTGGTTCAAGCCCCAGGCTAAACGATCGATAGTCACTTGCTATCGTCCAACCCGTGTTAGGAATCACACGTTAAAAGGTAAAACCTCGTTAGTCCTTAGCTCGCACAAGTTTCGACTTCTGAGGTTGTCGTTCGTATAGGGGTGTGACGTCTGGTTAACAGAAAACAGATTTTAAATAGATTTTTTTATAGAAAATATTTGCTGTCAATTTACGTTTTTGGCGATAACAGTGACCTGCAAAAAATTTAAGCCTTTTAAATTTTTCCTTTTAGATTGTAATTTTACCAAACAAACAATGTTATGAGGCAAACTTATGGTGGTTGCGACAAATAGTTTTTTGTGTGTCAAACTGGATAGTATCTAGCATATCGAATTAGAAAACTGTACACACCTTAAAAACTTTCTAATGTTTCACAAAGCTACAATTGGACCTACGCCTACGGAAATATATGAAAATGAAAATCATAGCAGCATCAATAGGTGTATTTGGTGAAAACAAAAACAGCAAATATATTCTGAACAAATATCAGCAGGTTCTGCAAAGAAGTCTGTTATATGGATTCATTTCAGTTGTTCAAATTGTTACTTACGAAAGTAATTTGAGAAAAAACATTATATATTCTTTCCGACCACTTCAAAATATTTTTGAAGCCCAAATATAACTAAGGTAGCCGAAATATAAACAAATAAAGATTAGCACTATCAAGTTACTCATACACTAACACTATGAAATGGTTCTATTGTTCATGGAAAACATCCGTTATCAACATTTCTAGGTACTTGATGTTTACATTAAATTATTGATAGTTTTAAATTTGGCGAGAGTTTCAAATTAACTGAATACGAGTATAATAATAATATAAAAAAATTAGTGAAACATAATGAAATGGTTTTAAATTTATTCGCCATAAACTACGAATTTATTTTTAATTTTCAGGAACATTCAATTGGATAATTAGTATAATTCAAATGTAGGCTGCTAAAGGTTGTATCCCAATGTGAGATCAACGTTTCATTGATTCTGGATTAGTTATGCGGAGGAAGATCTAAGTCTGAAATAAATGTGTCAACTGGACATTACTTCAGACAGGAGAGCATGTAGATATTTTAATAAACCGCGATTATTAATTGTGTTCAAACGATTCGAGGAATTGAAACTATTGAAAGAAATTCTTCTCTTAGCGCCAATTCACACAGAAAGGACGTCGGATAGAGGCGAGGTGAGGACAACTGGTCCAATTCACAGTCCGCGCCTCGTCTCAGCACGACGTTCGTACCGTGCAAGAGTTGGCGCTGAGATTATCGTGTGGAAATTTCATTTAAAAAAATAGATCAATTAAACAAAAAATAGAAAATGAAAATTAAAAGATTCCAAGCCAAGTAACTTCACGACGTTTCGATTGTTAGTATCCACAATCGTCTTCGGGTGATGACTAGACTTATTCCTCTGGGAAATGACTACTTATGGGTCATTCGAGTACTTTCACTTATACTATCTTTCCGCTTCACTGGAGATGACCGTTTGGCGTGAGTTGGCCATTTTTCGCTTGATTATGGGTTTCCATATGTTGCGTATCTCTATACACTAGCTTGGCTGAATACATTGTTAGACAACATGTATGCGGCTTCTTTGAATTTCCTTCTAAACCAGTGTTCCTTCCTGTGTATGATCTCAGCTTGGGACCAAACATGCTCTGCTATTCCTGATTTGCTGGTTTCCCCTCGTTCGTGTGTGTTTCTTGTGCTCGGCAATGCGAACATTCAATTGCCTCTTAGTTTCACCGATATAGAATTGTCGGCACTCACACGGTATCAGGTAAATACAATTCTTGGAAAAGCAGTCCGCGTTTGGTGGCCTGGATTTCGTGAGGGTGCTACGAATAGTGTTTCCGGATCTGAAGAAGGTTCTGATGTAATATAGATTTGTCAGTTTTTGCGTTTTTGAAATGTCTTGTATTTCCGATAATGAATCTCAATATTTCTTAACGGTTTTCTCTATGTGAGACTCAAAAATCATTTTATTGCTCCTGTTTTAATTGAATGATTTGCTAATTGATATTAAAAATCAATCGGATTTTTATTTCTGATAAAATTTATTTAATCATCATTTAGGTATAGGTTACTATTGCCACATACTTCATTAGTCCTGTGAGATTTCGAAGAGTTTCCATACCTCACATGAGTGGCTAGAAGAATGAGTGGGTAATAAATAGAAGTGCGCGAATACTGAAATTCAAATGTATTGGAAATTGAGATTAAGTTCAGTTTTAGTTTTTGAAAATAACGTTTGAGAATTGTGATATGATTAGGATGCTTTTTTTATTCATAAAATACAGTTTAGAATGGCAACAGTTATGCAAGAGCAAAGCCCTTGGCGGTTGTCATGCTCGCCACCTCCTGCTAAGAGAACCAAGACATCATCTAAGCAAGTCAGCCAGAAATTTTGTTGATATTAGGATATATAACAAATTACCTGACGAAATTTAAAGCCTAAATTTTAATCAATACAGAGCAGAAGTCAAGAAAATATGTTGCCACCACTGTTATTGTGGAGATGGGTAGGATACCTTGCAATGGTTTCCGTCATGATTTCGCAGAATTCTGTTCTTCGATCAGGGTCATCTTCAGTTAATTGGTGTAGCGTTTTAATTTTGTATGGATGATACAGAAGTCTTCACACAGTAGAAGGAGACACCTCACAAATATTCGCAACGGAATAAGTAGACTGTTCCGGCTTTACTACCATCTCACCAATTATTTGCACTTGCTGTTCTTCCGGAATGGACGGATGACCTGGGGGCTTTTTGATATGTACACTACCGGTAGTTGTGAATTTGGATATTTCCCTCAAATATTTTCTACAGATAGGACCATTCGGAAAACGTTCATTGAAAATCCTTTCGGTGTCGTGAAAGTTACGCGTCGCACCATAAATAAAAATCGCTTCAATTGTTTCTTCCAATGGACGGGAATTGACCATTTTAGATACTGTTGACGTGGTACCTTTCTACTAGTAAAACCGAAAACTAAATGATGTTTATTGTCGTACTGACATTTTTGTCGTTTTTATAAATACAAAATAACTTAACAAACCTCATCGTGTTGTTGGAATAAAGTATTTATGCATTAATTTTATTGATCCAAATTTCAAATTTTTGAGTTGACCCGTTCAAAAAATTAAAGAGGGGGAACATTAAAGAAATGCACTGTATGATCCGCAGAATGCGTTATTCATGGCAGGCACTGTATTTCCCTTAAGCCACAAACAATATCGAATCGTTCGAGCGAGCAGCCGCAAATCTCGAAACGACAACGCAGCCATCTCAAGTTACTCAACGCATTTTGATAATTCATTCCGTAACGATGGTTGTGCTTTCGGAAAGTACAATGCCCCGTCGTCAGCACAATACAGAAAGGCGATGGATACTGTGTGACGTTGGCTCATTACGTATAGCCACAGAATTGATAAGTGAAACAACGTAAGAGGCGCGACGTCGACTGTTGTGTCTACGACCGTGTATTTCAGTTGGATAACCATTATGGAATATTCCATTGTATAATTTGCATTCGAGAATGTTGGCGAAATGTCCCTTTGAAGTTAACATCGAGTTGCTCTAATTGGATACTTCACACAAATTTGTGTATGATCAAACAAATAATTTTATCGGTTTCGGGAAGAATGTGAGGCTGGCCGCACACGGATCGAAACGTATTGGTTCGAAGAAAATTGTTTGTGTCACCCCAAAAGCATTCAAAGGTTCAAGTCGGGTAACCGAGGAGACCACTGAGTTGCATCCCTTCTTTCTATGCACCACCTCGAAATATCTTGTTTAAAGAGTTAGGCTAATTTTGTGGGTTATGGTAGGAGTACCGTTAACCAGCTGTCTCCCTCTTACGAACAAACAACCCTCAGAAGTCAGAACTTGTGAGAGCTAACGATTAACGAAGTCTTATACTTTGACGTGCGATTACTAGCACGAGGCTCCGTTTGAAAAACTGTAAACTTTTATTTTTTTTCATTTGGATTATTATCATACTTGGCAAAACTGTAATAATATGATCAACGGATAACTGTGTATGACATACAGTGTGTCAAAGCCAAATTGAATAAATTCATTATTTCGGTTACGGTACATATTTTAACAAAATCCCGAAACACAAAAATGCTACTCCTACCTTTAACCTCCGTCGAATGGCAAATACAACCCCAAATTTTTTTAATGGGAAGTATGATGTATCGTTTGAAAGGTCTCTTCATTCTCTATTCAAAAATGTTATCGCTTTCAAGTTTATTGCAACAATTAATATAAAATAAATTAAAATAATGTGGTTACCGAAAATCGTAAAATACACTCAAAACTTATTGCAATATACTCAAAACCAATTATTAGAAAGTAAGCAAAAACCATTGCAATGTTCTTTTTAGATGGTATCTTTTAAAAAACTGTAAATAATTTCCATGGCAAAGTTACTTTAAAACGCCTTGTCAACTTGTTTTTCATGTTACATTAGTTGTCAGTATTTTAATTCAAGTTTAAAGTTCGTTAACTTCAAGTTGCTTAGTTTGGATACAATATGATCTGTATGAACATTCCATGTGAGCTTCTGATCTATGTATACTCCAAGGAATTTACAATATTTTACTTGCTCTATGGACCTATGATCCATTCTTATTAATGGACTATGGTCAAGACTGATATTTTGTTGTTGATCAGGAATTGATAAATGACGTCAACGGCTATCCAGATATGCCTAAAAGGATCATAAGTGGTGATGAATCATGGTTATATAGTTATGACATCGAAACCAAAGTCCTATCGTCCCAATCAAGAGCCCATGAGAACCAAGATCAAAAAAATCATGCCAAATCAGATCAAATGTCTAGGTTTTCCTCGCTGTTTTCGTCAATTATTGTGGCGTAGTGCATCAGGAGTTCTTGCCAAATAGTCGTACGGTCAATAAGAATTATTATCTTGAAGTTATGCGCCGCTTGCGAGAAACAATACAAAGAAAACGTCCGGTATTGTGGAAAACAATTCAAGGCTTTTGCAACACGATAATGCACTTGCTCACTCGTCACTTGTTCATAGTTTTTTGACCAAAAACAACACCGTAATCATGCTTCAGCCACCGTATTCACCAGATTTGGCCTCCCGCGACTTTTTCCATGAAAGGAGATAAAAACCGAATTGATCAATGACATACCAAAAAGTGCATACCAGACTGATTCGAGAAATGAAAAAACGCTGGAACAAGTATATTATATAATAGGGGGACTACTTTAATGGGGACAGAATAGAAATTGATGAATGAATGATTAATTTTTTTTGAGAAAAATGAAAAGTCACTCTATTTCTTGAAAGATCTAGGGGTGTTGCAGTTTCACTATAATAAATGTAGCCAAAAGAGAACATGTTGAATAATAAAACATTTTGACTTTCAAAATTGTGTTTGCATATTACAATGATGATCCACAAAAAAGTTAGTGAAAAACAAAACTAATCCAATCATTAAGATAAGATTGCAGTACATACTAGAGTCTAAGGCTCTGAAACGTTGCTTTATATGAAGTCATATAATAATCAATTCATTCGGAAAACCAGCCAATTTTCGAACCAGTTTATCAACAAACAATGATGAGCAATTTTTCATAATATATTTTTTGTAGAGGAACTATTTAAAAAACTGACGTATACATCAGATGTGTATTCTCTTTCCCATTCACACCCACAGGAAAGTTCTAGAGGTACCCATTAAATCGAAACTTGTGCTATGATATATGACACACTCAAGGATGTGACGTTCAGTACAGCTACTGTCACCCACACACTCTCTCTATGCCACATGCTACACCATAAATCATTATCAGAAACGAAATAAGAACTCATGAAAAAGTCGCAATATAACTAATATTGCCGGCGCATAATGTTTCAGTATTTTCGTTGTTCGAAATTAAAGAGTGTTTACGTTTTTTTGACATCGGGTTGTCCATTAAACATACAGTCGCATCGAGTATTGAAAACTGTTCTTCAAAGGGTGTTTACGCTTTTTTGACACCGGGTTATCCAATAAACCTAGAGTCGCATCAAAAATTGAAAAATGTTCTGTCAGAATTCGAATTCAGGAACGGAGTTCAAGTGTCCTATGTAATTCAAACTCGTAATAGTCTAGGATCCCGCTGTAGAATCACTACGTCCATAGCGTAGTTAACCAAACCCATATTTTTACATAGATTTGTGAATGGGAGAATATATTTACGACAGGAATCCGCTTAAGAACCATTTCTCAAGCTGCAATCGATCCTTCAAATGAAAATATTGACGGCCACTTTTTGACTGGCAACCCATGAATGTATGTAAAAATTTGAGTTTGAATAACCATGCTATGAACGTAGTGATTTTGCGGCGGGATGCTGTACTGTAAGAAAATGATGTATGATACCAAGTTTCGCGGTGGCCGTGGTAATGGGCAGACGTGTCGATAAAGTCCGTCCACAAAAAAGGTAACGGGTCTTCCAACAGGGACTTCCGAACTTTGACAATTGATAACGGCCGTCTTGTTGAAGCTACATTTGTCAAATTAGTTGTCATTTATTCAGTCTGTTTTGCCAAATCATCATGGAAGAATATAGCATTCAACAACACGTGCAAATAATAAAATTGATTCATCAAAATAGGTGTTCTTTTCGGGCAACGTACCGCCCGCTTCACCCATTTTACGGTCGCCATAATCGTCCTACCGAGAGGACTATTCGCCATGTGGTGGATAAATTTGAGTCCACTGGTTCAGTGAACTATCGACAAACACCCGTAGGTCGACGAAACGTAAGATATGTCGAAAAAAATGTCCACTATCTGTGAGAGTGTGCAGGAGAATCCGAATCGCTCAGAAGAATTCGGCCTTTCGCAGATCACAACTTGGTGAATTTTGCGTCTTGACTTGAACCTGCGTCCGTACAAAATTCAACTTACTCAGGAACTGAAGGTGAATGACCCTATTTTTCATTATGAAACCGTCATCAACGTTAAGGTCCATTTCTGAATGAATGGGTACGTGAACAAACAAACTTGTCCAATTTGGAACGATACCAATCCACATGAGATCGAAGAAAGTCCAATGCATCCCGGAAAAGTCACTGTTTGGTGTGAATTTTGGGTTGCGGCGTCATCGGTCTATATTTCTTCGAGGAGGACGTTGGCCAGGCCATCACTGTCAACTGCGAGCACTATAGGTCGACGATTACCAACTTCTCTTAGCCTGAATTGGATGATCCGGACACCAACGACATTTGGTTTCAACAGGACGGCGCCACGTGTCACACAGCTCATGCCACATTGGATATTCTGCACGAGCGATTTGAGGGCATGGTCATCTCACGTGGAGGTGATGAGAACTGGCCACCGAGATCGTGCGATTTGACCCCGTTAGACTTTTTCTTGTGGGGTTCTCTTAAGTCGCAGGTATATGCGAATAAGCCACAAACCACAGCGGTCCTCAGAGCCAACATAACTCATGCTATCGTTCAAATTCAGCCTGATTTATGCGCCAGAGTCATGGAAAATTGGACGTTCCAGAGAAGCTGTGGCGAACATTTGAACGATGTTATATTCTACATCAGTAAGACTTTCAAACGAATTTCTATGATATTTAACACACACTTCGTTTTATGTAAATTTAAAGATAGGAACCGCTCAATTAAGTACCCTATAACTCGAGAACTAGTTGTATTTTAATAAGCCTGGGATGAAAGAGTTGTTATTTTTTCCTTCGTACTGATGATTTTCGTTTTTAATGAATAATAACATTCTGAAAAAGACGGTTCTTGGTTTTATATCGAAAATTTTCTTTCAGTAATTCACTACTGGAAAAGGGGTTTCTAATTTGAAAATATATCAGTTTCTCTTGAAAATCAGTTGAGTGAGAAACATCACATTAATTTTCATTTCTCATAGGTAATAATTTTTCCAGAAGTTTGTAACAAAAGCCCTTCAGCTGAAAACCACTAAGGTATTATACAGGGCTATTCAAATTCGTTTCTGTACATGGGGATCTCGTAAACGATAAGAGATAGAGTGTCGGTTGAATGATGTGACAAAGTTTCGTATTTTAGAGACCTATTCAATGATGTAAAGAAATCGAATATAGCTCTTTTGGTTCTGGAGATATACAGGAAAAACGAAGAAATCCCAAATTATTTTTTTGCCTATATCTTCTTTATTCGCAGACATATTGAAAATATGTACACATTTTGCTATTTGCACTTGATGTGGGCTCTCAGAATATATCCATGAATCTTTTATACAGGGTGTCATCTGACTTGGGCCACCCCCATCTTTGAATCGTAGACGTTCACTTCATACTGAAAAATTGAATTCAATTTTATATTTCGGGATTTTTCGGTAATATTCGATAATAATTGTGTGAATTATTCCCTTTTAAATTACGGCCCTGGAAATTGGTTGACTGAGTTATAAAAACACAATAGCAACTTTCACGTCTCCCTATGANTCTATTCACGCCGGTATCCAGGCCAGGGTGTTTCGGATAACCACGTAAAGGGGGCCAAGTAGGTACGTGAAAAAAAAAAGAAAAGGTCTACCGAGAAAGAGGCGAACTTAAAAAAAATCCAAAACAGTGTTTGCTTTAGAATAACTGAAACAAAAAACTCACCATCAGTTGAAAAGGTAGTTGCAGTAGGTGCCGGTGCCGGGGCCAGGGGCCAAAGTCCTCTCTGGGATGGCCCGCCCGGCCCAGCAGGGCTGCCTAGCATTATCACGTATGGCCCGCCAGCCTAAATGTATTCACACTGAAACAAAAAAAAAAGATTAGAATCAAGATTGAGATGTCTAGGTATGAAAATAATTTCTCAGCAGATTTTCAACACTGCTGGTCAAAAATTCAACTGTTATCGTCACTAAAAATAGGGTCGTTCGGTCAAATCTGATTTTGTGCATTTTTCAAATAGTTTTATCGAGCTACCATTCAGAAAACAATGACAAAAATTTATAGCATTTACCGTTATCAAAATATGTAACATTGAAACTGCGCGTTTGTCGAAAGCTAGTGTGACGAGATATGTACGATTGTCGGTACAACTTTTGGTTTCTATTACAATAAAGCGAAGCATTTAATGTCTGAGGTATGAATGAAGATACGTGCCTGAGCAGTTCTCAAAATATAAAGAATTATGTTTGTCGAATCCTCTCTAGTTATTTTCTTTTCTATCAAGGGAGCGTTTGATAAAACAACCTTTCCAACAATTGCCCAGCAACTACACTCCAGGAATGTTCCCCTGGTAGTAGGAGAATGGATACTCAAGATGCTCTCTAGTAGAGCAATAAGTATCAATGTAGAAGGCATCACAGTGAAAGGACTGGTCATGAGGGGATGTCCACAGGTTTTATCACCCCTTCTCTGGAACATAATTCTGGATAGCCTGATTAATCACCTCCATAATAATGGAATCTACACAATTGCATATGCAGATGACATAGTTATCTTGCAGACCGGCAAATTTGTGAACACACTGTGCGATAGAGCGCAGAATGGGCTCAAAATTAATATAAACATGGTGTAAGGAACACTCACTGTCGATCAATTCCAAGAAGACTGAGATGGTCCTTTTCACCAGGAAAGGAAGTGTATCGGGCTTAACACCTCCTGAAATATTCAAAAGTAAACAAAACTTCTCTGAAGAGGTGAAATACCTTGGTACTATCCTCGANGTCAATAAGAGAGTGTTTGTTCGGCGAGTCTTGGCCTACACCTTCAGATATAAAGGAGATGTCTCCCAGCGACCTGTCCACCTTCCTGGAAAGGACAGGATGGACGATGACCTAGGAGGACAACTCCTCGGGAGGATGTACAATGGGTCACATGTGGCCTAAGTGCTGTGGGCTTACACTCACCCTCCCTACTCTACAGATACAGATAAATATATATTCATTTAGAAAACAGTAATTCATAGCAAAGTCCAACAATTCAAATAATTCGTTATCGTGCGTTCACAGCTCTTTATTCAAATCTACCCATTAATTTCCTTTTCGAACGATAACATTCATATTCCATTCGTTTCTACGCACCGCCCACATAAATAACTCTGGAAAGAATCCGATTCATAACGAAACTAAAGAAATAAATAACTGACCTGATATTCAACCAAAACAATGAACCCATCGATTACAACCTTCGAAACGAGCGGGAGAAAAGGAAAATTGAAAGGTGGCCGTGGAATCGTGCATCTCTGTGAAAGATGCACACGCCAACTCGTCAGATTGCATAACGTCGGACGAGAACCAATGAACGACAGAAATTACGAGGGGAAGGGAGCGGGGGGCGAGACGAAGAAGGAATCTCGGATGGTATTAATCGCGGTGCACGGTGGTCGTTATCAGTGTTGTTTTTAGAGTTATTTAATTGATAGAATGTTACTTTTTGATGTTTAGAGTTACAAAATTGTTTAATTTTTGAAAAACTTTCAACGGAAAGTTTACGCGCGAAAACTGACAGTTGGCGTATCATGACTGACAGTTGACATATCAAAACTGATAGTTAACGTATCTATCGTCGGATCTGAGTCAACTGTAACTTTTGAATGTCATATTGAAACAATTCCTCCGTATATTGACTTCATAAAGTTTTTGGCATACATTAATTATCACATTAGTTACCACAACTACAACAGTTTCAATATCGTTTTATCGAATTGAAAAACAAAAAACTACCAATACATGTTCACTTTATGTCAGCACAAATATTGAGTAGTAATATATTATTACATGTCCCCTTTCAAAATTACATATTACATTTTCATAAGACCTGTTGAACCTTTCTGGAAGTTTACTTTTTTAGTGCCATAGGCGTACTGTATTCAAATTATTTACTCTTAACGAATTGAATAAATGAATTTATACGACGAAAACGCAATATATATTCTTGGAAAATATCATTCATAACAAAGAAAATAACAAATCTACAATGAAAAGTGTTAAAATATGTCCAGTAGTAACCAAGATATTCTCCAACANAACAAGTATAGCTGAGGCACCAGTCAATCTAATAATAACACTGATGATCTTCAAACAAGACTCAACCTCTGACGGAAGCAAGAAACTCTTTCGAAGGTTTGAAATAGATGAACATTTCAATCTAGCAGATCACTGTTATAATATTCATGCGTCATTGTTCACTGTGGTTCTGGCGTTGAATTTGGTCATTATTACGCCTTGGTCAAAGACGAAACGGGCTGGTTTAAGTTTGACGATATTCGTGTCACGAAGTGTTCTGGCGATGTACTGAATCTATTGGTTCTGGAGACACCTTACATTTTGTTTTATGAGAGAGAGGACATTGGCAGATCAAGATCTTCAGATAATGTGGTGCTGCATGAATCAATGAAGTCGCCCCGGAGCGCCAATTAATTTTTATTGTTGTTTTCATATTTATCTTCGAAAATAAAAATCACAGGAGCTACAGAATATTGTGCTTTTGATTGGATTTTCGTTTGTGTACATTTGTTGCGTTAATGAAGACAGAAATTGCAACTAGCATTCGATCGTATTTGTAATAGTTTCAGAAAAATGTGTTTCATTTCCACACAATTTACACATCAATCTATTATAATTGGTAGTCTGCCGCTTGTAAGCTTTTTTTATTGTCCTTTCACCTCTATTTGACATTCAGTCATTAAATTCACTACCTGAAATAAACCGACAAAATTTCAGAAAACCTGAAATTCAATATTCAATAAAACTTTTCCTAGGTCACTTTCTGGACAACTAACTATTTGAAATAGGTAGTCATGAAATTCTTATTAGTAAATAACTCTGAAGGATTTTATTTTGGATAAATCCGACTGATTTGTGGACATTTTATCAAATAAAACAAATACCTTTGTAAAAATGCCTTCACTGGTATATCTGAAGGTATCTAATAGGTGAAAAAAATTCAAATAAACACTAATTATTTATTGGCGTGCAAATGAATAAGTTAATAATAGGGTGTATTAGACATTTCCAATAACCTTTTCATTTTTCGACCATGAAGTGTCATAAACAGTCAGGTATAGGTAAATATTCATCTTGAAATAATTCCAAATGAATAATTGGGCATTGATAACCTTTTTCTAGTCAATAGTATCTGGTATTGTATCTGAATTTAGATAATCTTATTCCTAAAGGCTATTAACGCATTCTTGCAGTAAAGAATGGTTACTTATTTGACACGTCTTTCAGCTGACAGAGTTTATAGAATTTCAAGGAACGTCATTGATGATAATCGTCTTAATTTTTGCCAATGTTGCCACTGATGAGTTAGTTGATACTTTGAAGTTCGATATTCAAGGCATTTCTAATCCGCATTTGGAGAAAAGGTTTTTAAGTTGTTAGCTGGAAAACCAGCCGTTTCGAGAATTCTAAGCTCTTCAACTCCTATTTAGTGCTTGATAATATTACATCCTAACCAGCGTCCAACCGAAGTGTCACGGTATCAAAGTGTGACCTAATATTACCCTTCAAAAAGCTCTTGCACATTTTTGGCGGCTGAAAATGTTTTATTTTGTGCTGTTTTCATTTTCTATTTCTCTTTATCTGAATTTAAGTGTGCAATACTATTGAATATCAGAGATAGAATACAAACTTGACGATTGCCATACATTGTATATTGTCCAGCTTCCTGAAAGACCGTTCCCTGCAAGTGGCCGTCTCTGAAATACTTTCACCATCAACGCTGGTGTTTCCCAAGGATCCATATTGTCTCCAACCCTCTTTTTATTGTATATCAACGACTTCACAACACAACAAAGTTTTTGTTTCGGGGTTGAAATTAGATGATTTTAATGTATTTCCACGTGTTAAAACCGAAAGTGACCATAAAAATTATATATTAGCTCTTGTTTTCAAAATATAGTATCATTATATTATATATATGTATATAGTTTGTTGGGGGTCAAAATGGACACCAATAAGTCTTGACACAATCATGTCGCTCGAATTGCAAAATCTGCTTCTCAAAAGCTTGGAACACTGTTCCGAACCAGAAAACTGTACACACCTCAGCAACTTTTGATGCTTTATAAAGCTCAGATCAGACCTTCTTTGGAGTTTGGTTCTAATGTATGGAGCTCCGCCCCTAAGATACCCTGAAGCTGCTGGATTCCATCCAGAAAAGATCCATTCGCATGATTGGAGGCACGAACATGAATTGCATCAATCTTTTATAGATACTTTCACGAAAGGTGTTCCAGTGACCTGGCACATTTGATTCCACCAAGAAATACGCGACGAACTGTACCTGCTCACGGTTTTGAGGTTCAACTCAGTACACGCAGAACTTCACTGTTCAAAACTCTTTCATTTGGAGAACTGCGTTTATGTGGAATAAACTTCATGAGAAAGTTTTTACAAATGAATATAATCTCCAGCGATTCAAATCCAACGTGAATGGCGACTTTCGCAGAGGCACTGCTCTTAGAGCGCCTTAACACCTTGTAGAATACCACAGACCTAACGCTAATTATTTTTCATTAAAGAACCAACATTCTGCTTGTGGATTTACCAACTGTTACGAGAAGCTGTTTTTGACACTTATTGAAATATGCGAGTTAAAATGACACTTTTATTAGTTCCACCGCCATCGTCTCATAAAACAAGTCCGGGAAAGGCACCACGTCGAGATATCATTTACCTTCCCCCATCTGTTCTCTCCCGTCTATTCGCGAATTCAGAGGGAGCGGCTGGATTATGAGCATGTCACAATGGACTCTTCCTTAGAAGTTCTAAGTGCTCGGTCAGCTTCCTCAACTGAACT